GGGAGGGCAGAGCACTAATTACTGCTGGACTGAGCCTAAGGGATCATCTATAAGCCAATATCCCCCCTCCCCAATTTTACCAATAAAGAAATTGAGGCCCAGAAAGGAAACATGACTTGTATTAATCTCATTGAATCCTCTCTATTTGCCCCACTTTCTACACTGAGAAACTGAGACACAGAGAAGTCACTTCCTAAAGTCACATTGCTAATAAGCCATAGCACCTGGCTGCAAACAAGGCCAATAGGCTCCAGAGACAAGCTCTTTGCCACCAACAATACAGTCTGATCCAGTTTCCCCGTAGAGGAGGTCACAGCCACATCCTCCATCCGTCCCTGTGCCTGCTCACGGTGGGCTCTGCTCAGCGTGCATCTCAGGAACACAACTTGCCTAGATGCGCCCTGGGAGCAGCCCAGTGAGCGAGCAGACAGGCAGATTACCGGCAGCAACTGGGACCTAGGACATGCGGCTGCTCTTTCCTACCTGCTCATAGAAGATGTCCAGGGCCTGTTGGATGTGCTGAACATATTCCATGACTGAGTAGTTCCTCTGTGAAGAAAGAAGGGGTTCTCCTCAGCCCCACTCTCAGAGGAGGAGAGTGGTCTGTTCCCAGCATAGGAGGGCCCTGGGGGCCTGGGATGGTGGCAGAGGGGCTTTGAGGGCACTGGACGGGCTGGGAAACACAGTCCTTGTTGCTGGTGGAGAGGCTCTTGTAAGAAGTTTTCCCTAGACCCCTAGTAGATGCCATGAATCATCCCCACCTCACCCTGCTTCATGGTATCTCAAACCCACAGGCAGCCCCTGACAGTGCTGGGCCCCACCATTCCTCTAGTCCCATACGTCACCTTCTCCAACCATGGTGGTGCCCCTGATGGCCATGCTGGCCCCACTGGCCCCCTAACTCCTACAGTCCCCTGTGACTCAGCTCGAGGGACTCCTCCTCTGACCCATCTTCCAACTGGAGGCTGGTTTAGCCCCTTCCTAATTAGTCCTGAGGGTGGCAGTCAGGTCCTTTCCACACAAAAAATGTTCTTCGGACTATAAACCTGCTTACATGGGGGACAGGCATTCTGGGGCTAGTGGAGGCACTTTCCTATACCGTGTTCACAGGTGGCTCTGGGGATACTTCTGGATTCCTGGACTCCCTTGAGTCCAAGGTGCAATGACATTTTAATCCCCATGAGATTGTGTTACTTCTGCCTCCAGGGTCTGCTCAGTGAGGCTGAGAACAGAGGGGAGGAGACCTGGAACAGCGAGCCCCTGTGAGGGGGAGGGGGGGATTCTCATCAAGCCTCCGGTGGCGTCTCTCTGAGCCACAAGGAATGATAAATGCTCCCCCCCATCCCCCTGTGACTGTCAAACATTCTATCACGACCTCTGAGTAATGGCCGTTGTCCTTTTCTGGCCAAATAAAATACAGGACGTCCTCAACTTAGAACAAGATGTATTCCAAAAGTTACAACTTCCCAACGTTTGTACGTCTGGACGTGTTTCCCCACGGATACAACAGGACACAACATTAGAAACAGGGTGGGTTCCCAGGCTAGCTAGCTGAGGCTGGTTAACTCACAGTGTCCCTGAAGTGCAGCAAGCTATCCTATCGGGACTGGTTCAGTTTTATCCAACCCCATTTATGACATTGTTCCAGTTCCTCCTGCACACCCTCCATCCCCAGGAAAAACCACCAACAAACAGAGACTGCAAGCAGGTGAGGGGTGGGCCTCGCTACTTACCCACTGGCTCCAGAAAACAGTGTGTGTGTGCATGAGAGAGGCACCCCATCAGCAGTGCCTGAAGTGTGGGTGCTTCCAGACACTTCTGGAATCGGGAAACCAGTGAAGCTGGTCTCCCAGGGGCCTCTCAGCAGTAGGAAATGCCAGGCCTCATGGGGCAAGCGTGAGCCAGGGGCTGCCTGGGCAGACTTGGGCACCTGGGAGAGCAGGCAGCCTGACTCCCCGAAAGGAGCTCAGGGCCCTGGGAACGGACAATGCTGCTGGCCAGCAACTCCGTTCTCAGGGCCCCGACGGGGCTGGTCAGGGGCCTACCGGTTTATAGCAGTGATGACACAAGTCGTTGCTCCCAATAAAGAGTGTGATCAGCTTCCAGTCTTTCTCCAGGTTGATTTTCTGAGGGGAAAGAGAACCTAGGATTAGGGCTTGGTGGGGGGTACATTCAGGTGGCGCTTCCCAGGCCAGACAGCCCCACAAGTGTCTCTCACTCTCTCTGTATCACAATGGAGAGAAGATGCCTCACCCTCATCTTGGTGCTGGAGCAGGGAGCTCAAAATGTATGTGTGTGTGTGTGTGCGAGTGCTCACACAGTGCAAGGGCTATTTCCCTTTGAAATCCTCTCTGGAAAGCTGCAGTCCCATGTGAAGGGTGTATTAACACACCCTGAAAATGTGATCTAAAGGACTTCAAAGGAGCCAAGGGCAAAAGATGCAGCTAGAAGCAAAGCCCCAGAGCTGCCTCTGGGAGAGCTCTCCAGGTGTGGGACCAGGGAGGGGACTGGAGGGGGAGCCCTGCATGGACTGAGAGGTGGGGTGGGGGCTGGGAGGCCCTCCAAGGAGCCTGCTTTCCACTCAGCCACCACCATAATAGGAGTTCTGCCAGGAGCTGAATTCCAAGGCATAAACACAAAGCATTAAAAAAAAAAAAAAATAAGTACTAGTGAGAAGGTTGAGAGGGACCAGGGAGGAGGGACTGGAATGAGGAGCCTATATTTAGACGCCAGCATTCATAATAGGGCTCTGCACAACCAGCCCGGGTGAAGTGAGAAGCTGCCAGAGGCTAGTCTCTCCATCCATCTCCATCTCTCTGCCCCATCTCTCCCCTCTGCTGCTGGCCCTGGGGATGAGGGTGCCCGAGCCGGAGCCAAGGGGACAGCGGAGAGGGGGCCTTTGTGGTAAGGCCTGCTTCTTGTGGCTCTTTTGGCCCCTCTTACAGACAAGCCCTGAGCAGCAGCTGCAGTGGGGCTTAGGGGCTCTGTTAGAGCCACTGTCCTCATCCCAGCCGGAGACCTGGGGGTCCTGTACTCACAGGGTCCATTTTCATTAGTTCCACTAGGGCCTTGGCCTGGGCAGGCATGTCCCTAGGCAGGAGAAGAGAAGGGGATTGTTAGAGCCGACTCAGGAGCAAGGTCTCAAGCTGTAGGAGTTTGGCTGGCAAGGATGTGTTTCAGGAAGACTAATGCTATGTTAGGTTTATTCCTTCAAAATGTCCTGAAATATTTGATTCTCAAGAAATCTCAACCAAGTAATAATCAAAGGTCTGCCACGGACCTCAGAGTCACATGGATCAGGACCCTGCCAGGGGCTAACCTGCCTCCCACCGCCTTTCTGCAGGCCTGTGCTCCTGGGCCACTGGGGTGGCATCTGCTCAACCTTCCCATCAGGGAGGTTCCCTTACATTTCATCCAGCTCTTTCACTGCACGCTGAGTCTGTTCACTTCTTATTTGGCTGCCCGTTTTAAAAATAGCCTTTTGTGTATTTGAAAAAAAGCCACAGCCCTAAATTACCCCTCAGCTTTCTCCTTTCCGGGCTTCACGACTCCTTTAACCTTTACTTCTAAGTCCCGCTCTCTGTTCCTTTAGTCCTTTCATTTTTCTCTGTAATTACTCTGGATTCCCACACCGTTCTCCAGCTCCTCTTTCCCCGCTCCCATCAGAGCAGGATGGGGGGACGGAAACGGGCAGGGCTCCCTTCATCTCCCCGGCATCTGCCATGACTTAGGAAGCGAACAGTCTGGACGAGAGACCTGTGTCAGCGGAATCCTGCTCAGCAAGAAGGCTGAGCGGACTGATACCTGCAACGGCACGGGTGCATCTCAAAAGAATTTTGCTGGGTGCGAGCGGTTAGGCAAGAAGTGTACATAGTATTTGATTCCATTTACATAAAATTCTAGAAAATCAAGACTAATCTATAGCGACAGAAAGCAGGTCACTGTTTGCCTAGTGTGGGGTAGGGGAGAGGAAGGGGCAAGGGGGAGAGATTACAAAGGTGCACAGGGGAATTTTGGGGGGTGATGGATGTGTTTATTGTCTCGATTGCAGTGATGATTTTACAGGTATATGCATGCATAAAATGCATCAAATTGCAGACTTTTAATGAGAGTGTATTGCATGTCAGTTAAACCTTTTTTTTTTTTTTTAAAGGTGTGTATATGAGAAATTATGTCAGCAAAGAGATACAGCCGATAGAGGTTTCCTTGGAAGAAGTTATAGAAGCAGTTGCTGATATAGGATGGCCATTTAAAATCTGTGCATGCCCACAATGAGCCGGGCACACGGCCAAGCACACAAAACACCTTCCCTGCCCTCGCTTCTCATTGACACATCCAGGATCACACCCATGCACTACTGCTATTGATGGGTATCGGAAAGCTACAAAGAACGCCTGTGCTGGGCAAAGGTAACACAGAAGTACCTATAACCTTTTAATAGGTTCAGGATGTGATAGGGGAAATTCACGGGTGATAAGCCCACTTCCTCCTCTCTTCCCAGCCCTGTTCCTCAGGCTCAGAGCAAGTCCCACCTCCACCTTCCCTTTGAGCTCATTTATCCGCGCTCCCTCTTTCCTTTTCTATCCCAGTGCAAAGAGTCCTGCTCTTGGAGTTATGGGACCCAAGTTCTCCTTTCAGCTCTGCTACAAACTTGCTGTATGAGCTCATCACCCAAGTTACCAAATCCTCCTAGGGCTGAATTTTTCTCACCTTTTAAATTATAAGGTTGGGCTAGGTGATTTCTGGGGTCCCTTCTGCAACTGCATCTGTGCTGGGACTGCCTAGCTGTGAGGACTACACTTTTCTGTTCTCTTGGTTGTACTCCAAAGTACAAAATCATTTCAGGCCGCAATGTTGCCATAAGCAACAGTTTTCCCCCAAAGTTATTTGTTGGTTTAGGCTCCTTAACTAGACAGCAAGCTCTTTGTAGGGAAGGAGTTCACCTTTTGACTCTTTTGTATCTTTTAGTAACCAACTCTGGGCTCAGCCCTTGGAAGGTGTTCAATGAATTCTTGCTTATTGGCTGACTGAAGGCAAGTTAGATGTTTAATACAAATTTGAAACTAAATACCCTAATATTGACAAGCTTTTTTTTTGCATCCATATTATATACTGTTCTGAGTGCTTTCCAGGGATTATTACCTCTTAATCTTACCACAGCCCTGAGAAGTGGGAACTATTATTATCCTTATCAACAGATAATGAAACTAAGACTCAGACGTGCTAAGTGACTTGCCCAAGGTCACTCGGGTAGCAAGTCTGAGAGCTGAAGTCTGGACACAGATGGCCTGACCCCAGATCCCATTGTCTTAGCTGCTCAGCTGTAGTATTTATCTTTCCAATGTGGTGAACAGACCCTTATCTATACGCATTAAACACAGAGTGCAGGTAAAGGAGAGACAATTCTCCAACCTTGCTTATTAAGTCAATGGCTTAGTCTCCTTTCCCCTAACATGGGATATCAGAGATGCTAACAAGAAGCTGTGTGTCTGGGTTACTTCCCCCTGACACTGATTTGTTCTGGTGGAGGCATCGAGCAGCAATAAAATAGAAAAGACAGTAAGAGAAATGAAGCGAGAAAGGGGCTTAATGTCAACAGACTGAGGAATCACCCCCTGGCTAATGAAGCCTGGGCTGTAGAATAATAATGAATTAACAATGATGATGATGATGATCCTAATGACAGCAGTTAGATGTGGACATTAGGACCCCATGAAGCCCAGGTTTTTGCAAAAGAATTCGTTTTTGTGCTTAAGATGTTGAAAAACTGACATGGCTTCCTGTGGCTCGGAGCGTGGGGCCCTCCTTACCGAGTCTGAAAGGACCGCTCCCTGTAAACACAATGAGTCAAGACAGTGTCGTTTCCTTGGTGATCTGAGTGCAGCAATCCTGCTGCAAAGCAAATACCCAGCACGTTCGGTGCAGAAAATCAATGACCTCTGCCAGGCATTTCAGCTTTAATTATCTGAGTTATTGTCAACAACAGAAATCTGAGTGAAAACAAACCAGGGCCATGCTGTTCCAGGGGCTGCACTCTTAACTCCCTAATGTCAAAATAACAGCTTTTTCAGAATTCAGCACTGGAGGATCTGAGGCGAGGGGGAGAGAGGAAGGGTGGTCACGTGCTGAGTTCCCAAGCCCCTGAGAAGTGCCCTGAAGGGGTGACCTGAACCTCCGCTGGGCAGGGAGCTGGGGTCAGTGGGACAGTACTCAGGAGGGGAGGGTGGCATGCTTCCTGCTGCCCCAGGAGACAGCAGCCACACCCTGGGCAACACAAAGCCCTGATCAGCCAGGTCTGATCCTGGCTCTTTTGATAACTTTCCCCGATAAGCTTGGACCGTCTGGGAAACTTTTAAGCCTCGGTGTGTCCTCATGCTAGTGCCCATCTTGAAGGGTGTGAGGATTACATGAGATGACCCATGTGCAGGGCCAGCCTGGGGCCAGACACACAGAAGTGCTCCACGCACGGCAGTGATTACTGCTCATCTGAGGCCAGGCTCCCAGATCCCACCCTCCTCCCATTTCCCACCGTGACCTCCCAGCCCGTCCCCCCCCCATACCCATGTCCACTTACTCAGCTTTGGCCCCTTCCACAGCGACATTCAATCCTGCTGTCTCCTTCTCTGTGCCGGTGGAGAACCCGATGATTTCAGGATTGAACATCTTGAGAATGTCTTTTAAGAGGGAGAAAGCAGACAGCACAGGTGAGTGGGAGATGGACGTGCAGTGTTGGGGCACAGGTAGAGGGCAGCACTGTTTGGGGTCTTTTCCGGGCTGGCTGACTTCCCTCCTTGCTGATAATCTTCTCTGCCACCGCTCAGGAGGCAGGCCCTGGCTCAGCGAGGGGCTGCTGTGGCCATAGTGATGGTGCCCCTTCATGTTGCTACTTACTGGGCAGTGTGGTGTGGTTCTCCAAGACCCCATCGCCTCCAATGCTGGGGAAGAGACAAACATTTGCTCAAATCCCCCCAACCTGCTGCTCCACGTGTCGTCATATTTCTGAGTCAGAAGCAGAGAGTCTGCTCCTGGTACGGGATTTCCATCGCCCTTAGGACCAGCACGAGCACCAGGGCCTCTCCTTGCATCTCAGTGCTGGGCCATGGCCTCATCTTGGGAGGGCTGAGAGGAGACACCACTCGTGCCCTGTTGGGGGAGTGTCATCCATAGAAAATAAATGGAGAACATCCTCACCTCCAAGAGAGTCCCCTCCAGGACCCGAGCTTCTCATTGGGTTTGCTTGGGCAGGCTCCCACTGCTGTCTGCGAGAGGAAAAGAGAAAGAAGGCTGCAGAGCTTGGCTGGGCCCAGATGCAGGCTGAGGGCCCTGGGAAAGGTCCCTGTGCCCTTGTGTAGCAGCTGGGACCTGGATTTACCTTTTCTGAAAATAGTACCAGCTTTTCTCCAGGCCACTTAATCTTTGAGTTGTCCTGACTCCCCAATCCTCTACATATAACCATAACCAAGTCTTAGAACCAAGGTTCTTCCTTTCCAACCTCTCTAGCTCCCAACTCTTTCTTTTTGTTCCCTTTGCCATATTCTGAGGTGAGGCTGTCATCTTGTCACCATGGACAACACTTTGACCTCCTACCTGACCCCACGGTTTCCAGTGTCAGTTCCCTTCTCACCAGCTGTCTGCTTGCTCTTCTGATCACGCCTTTTCTTCACACTTCCCCTTGACTCTGACCTTTCAGTGCGTCTCCCTTACCCACAGGGCCAAAGCCAAACCCCTTTACCAACTCCCTGAGTTCACCATAATCTGGTGTCCACTTTCCTTCCTTTGTTCGCCCACTTCTGTTCTGTACACACAAACCTCCAGGTCTAAGCAAATTGATCTGAAACATGAAGGTCTTCAACTAGTGTTGAATTCATTCGCTAAGGCCTTTGTCACTTTTTGCCTCTCTATAAAACTTTCTCGAAATGCCCTAGTTCAAAAGAGAGAGAAACCCCTCTTTGAACCTTACATTAATAATATATACCATAAGTAGTGAAATGATGCAAAGATTTTTAAAAAATTAATAATATGTCCCTCCTTAATAATCTTGCCTTATCCCCTCCTGGCCCCTGACCCACATATACACGCCAACAAAGCTAATCAGTGGTGAAGAGCCTGGTGTACATCCTTCCATAGCTTTCTCCACATTCATACCAACATTAAAACACATTCACACACCTATGGGGAAGTTGTTTGTTTTTACAGAAATGAACACCTGATTTTTAAAGTCCTGTATGGCATCTATATGACTATGTGGCTCCTTTTGTGTGTTTCTCATAGTCCCAGCTGAACACATTTCTTGAGGACTATGACTATACTTCTTTCCCCTCAGGATTGCTGGCAGAATGTCTTGTGCACAGCAGTAGCTAAATATTTGGCTAATATGATTCACTTAGTAAAATATCTATGTGCAGGAATTGGGCTCCCTCTTCCCCCAAAGAACACATCTTTAGATGGGGTGAGGGGTGCTGGGCAATGTGTGGGTAAGACCCACCACTCTGTGAGTCAAGTAGATGGAGATGAGTTTCCTGATAAAGGCAGGTAGACTTGGATGAGTACCACAGCACACAGACAAAATGCTTGGGGACAGTGGGGGAAGGGAGGTAGATAACTTCCACCTGGGGATAGAGGTGGTGCTTGAGTGGGACTGTGGAAGGGCGGGAGGGGGGCTTTCTAGATTGCCTGGTGATGTCTTGTGGCAGCCTGGCTGTGTTTCAGTGCCTGATACAGGTAGGTTCTCACTAGTGTCAGCTAAATGCAGAGCCAGTACAGAGGAAGAGTTGATTCTGCATGGGGTTTGGCTGGTGCTCATGTCTGGCCAGTTCAGTGCTTACAGTTAGTGAGTCACCCAGGGCAGCCACCACTTTGATGTCTGACGGTCGGAGCTCATGGACTAGGATAGACAGGTAAAAAGATGGATGGTCAGGGGAGGCCTTTCTTTTAAAGCATAAACTTGACTAGAAGTCTGAGATTCTGCTGTAGTCCCATAGGTCCCCATTTGCAGCCTAGGGCTTTAGCAACTTTGCCTCTTACATCTGTTTTGAGCAGGGGTGGGGAACGTCCAGCCCATGGGCCATATACAGCCAGTGAAATCATTTGGTCTGGCCCTGCCAAGGCCTCACCAAAGAGAAGCAGTTCCAGCCATCACATTAGGGGTGACTTAATTAAATGTTTGACCAAATATAGCAGGCTAATTTTTGAGCTGATAATTTTTGTATGCCCGAGAATGATGTTATAAATATCCAAAAGGCCCTTGGCAGGAAAAGGCAGAGATGACCCAAATCCCTGACTGTCCCTACCTCCCAGGGCAGGGAGGCCTGAGGGACTGCCATTGGGATTAAGTGGACATGAGAAGTGTGCTTTGTGGAGAGGCCTTGGGGCCCAGCAGGGGTTGCAGGCCAGCTATTTGTGGTTGTACCAGTTGTAGGTCTGCATTGCATGGAAATCAGCAAGGCCTACTCAAGGATCCAAGGTGTGTTTGTAGGGTCTCCTGCCACCCGGACACTTAGCAAAGCCCTTAACTGAAGAGGGGATGGCGTTTTCCACTCACCTGAGGTGGGAACCGTGGACAAATTATTTGCCGCACACAGGAAGTCACTGCCCCAGTTCTACATCAACAGGAGGAAAGAAACATGCTCAACACTCACTGTGCAGGGAAGTTAGCTACAGCCCAGGAACTAGCTAAGTAACTTTTGGTGGAGGCTAGAACTATGTCACTGTAGGGGATCGTGTGAGGGTAAGACCTCTTCGTTATAGATGGACTGCAATGGAAATTAGGAGAAAATGGGTGTCTGCCCTTCCCTATGCACAAAACACATACTGGTGGGTACACACATGACACTCACACAGTCTTTCCCATCTCCACTATCTACACTCTTAAATGGAGCTGGCAGTCCTACCAAAGCAGGGGGGGAACAGTGCAGTCATTCATGCTACAGGTGGTCTCCCAGAGGACACAGACTTGGATGCCTAATGAGAGATTACAGCTGGGTTTTGGTATTGTTTTTGACATTAAGCTAATGGACACTAATTACAATGCTAGGATATTAGTTAGAATATTTTTAGGAGAGGAACATGAAATTTTTACAATTGCTTAATTCCTGGTTTCTGCATATTTTCTCTGTATGTGAGTATATCTTTTTGGATATTTAACTTAATAGCCAACCAAGTCCTTGTATATGTTAAAATTAATACCTGTAACCCTGATACTTTTCGTCAAATTCCTTCATGTCTAAAATACGAAGCACTTTGCTCTGACCGGGTAGCTCAGTTGGTTAGAGCGGCATCCTGATAGGCCAAGATTGTGGGTTTGATCCCCAGTCAGGGCACATACAAGCAGCAACCAATGAATGCATAAAAAGTGGAACAACAAATCAATCTCTCTCTCTCTCCCACTTCTCCTCTCTCTCAAAAATCAGAAATGACCGGTACCAGCAAGCTGGGGGAGAAACAGAAGCTCTTTCCCAGAGTTGCAAACACCTGCATATCCCCAAGATGGCCTGAGGGACAAACCCAGTGCTGAGTGCCCAGTAGGGGGCTCCACAAACAGGAGCCGACTGGTTGGCGGATCCTCCGCAGAGGTTTTGGAAGCTCTTCTGTGTTAGTCAGATAAAGATGAAGACAAGCCTTGTTAAAGCACTCCTCTCAGGAGGGAGCAAAAATGAAACTTCTTTTAAATATTATTTGCTTAATTTGATATAATTTAGTTTATTCCAAGGACTTGTTCAATTCATCACAATGACGGATTCCTTCTTCTGTGTGGATGTGCTACTGAAGTCAAGAATATACTTGAGATTTTTCCACTCGGCTCCACCTTTCAGGAAGCCGGTGGCACCTCAGCCCCACTGCCTCCCCTTCAGCTCTGGAAAGGCTGAGTTGCCTAATCGGAAGTGTTGTTTGTACAAAGGTCAAAGAAAACTGATCCATGGGCACTTCCTCTTGCTGGTTGCTGATGTCAGGTAACCACTTGAGAACATGTTACGACAATCCTGGGACTTGTGGTTCAGGCAATTTTCTCTTTTTTGACATTCTAATTTCCAGTATGTAAAATGGGTACATTTCTGCTTAAGCTAACACTCTGAAACCTGCATTACACCTCAAGTCACTGGCAGGTAGAAATGGCTTGTCCCTGGGAGAGGCATCAGGAGTTACCTCGATGGCTGGCTTGGTGGGGTATGTGTAGTTACTGTTCTTGAGAGTTGTCAGGAAAGGAACATCCTAAGAGAGAAAAGAAACCACAGGGAGGGGTTATCTGATGATAACGAATGTTGTTTAGGAAAGAATCCTGTTCTCTAGATTTATTTAACATGACTTTTCGGCGCTCAAATAGAAAGAACTGTGTAAACATAATTTTGTTCATTCCCTAGAGGGTTTTACATATTATCTTTGGCAAGGCATACACAATGAAAGGACTAAAAAGCATTCATGTATGTTTTACTCAGGGTTCTGTGCTTCTGTTTTCACCCTAGCAGCTGAACATCTACCTAATCATCAAAGTGATCTGTTTTCTTTCCTTTATAATTTCTTTAGCAAGGGATTCACATTATAGCATTTTTTTCTTTTCTAAAAAGTGTTATGATTATCAATTTATTATTTTTTTATCTTCACCCAAGGATATGTTTATGGATGTATTTTATTTTATTTTTTAACATTTATTTATTATGAATGTCTAAAAGTGATTTTAGAGAGGGAGGAAGGGAGAGAGAAAGCAAGCGAGAGAAACATCAGTGTGAGAGATACATTGATTGGTTGCCTCCCTTCGTATGTGCCCCGACTGGAGATCGAACTCACAACCTAGTTATGTGTCCTGACTGGGAGCTGAACCCACAACCTTTTGGCCAAAGAGGGGAGACTGAGTCAAAGGGGTCAGAGGTCAGGGAGACACTGGAATTTGGCAGGGAGTGAGGCCAGAGCAGGAAAAATAAGAACAGGTCCAGGGCAGTGGCAGACAGGTGGCCTGGGTTGCCCAGAGCTTGTTTTGTTGACCATAGGCCACATGGTGTGTGCATGAGTCAGAGCGGTTTGAAGGCCTGGACTTGAGCACATCACGGAGGAGGGATTCTGTCAGTTAGTCTGACTGGCTCTCTTAGGCTCCGTTTGTAGCACCAGTGAGTAGAAGGTGAAGCCCATTAAATGCCAGTACCAGGAAGTCTGTGCAAAGATGGTGTGGCCTGCCTGGGGGTGGGGGCAGAGCCAGGACAGCCACCTGATATGAGTCAGCACCATGAGTCAGAGGCTTCGGGAAAAGGTCATGTGCATCTTGGCTGTGTCACTAGGTTTAAAGTTCCACAGTCAAGGAGTAGAGATTCTTGTTTTCTGTTCTGTGCTGCTCGAACCAAAGCAGAGTGTACAGGCAGGTCTGGGCACCCACCGAAACAGGGGCCATGTTCCAGGGAGACATATCTACTACATGAGACAGGGTTTTTAAGGCTGGCTGAGATAAATCGTTCAGGGAACAGTGGAGAAGACTCAGGGAAGGGCGGTGGTGGTGGTAGAAGGGAGGAAGACCTAACAGGCCCTGACCTCTGACATTCCATTCCATTCCAAGCCTGCTGGTTCATGACCTACTAGGCTAATTCCACAGCCTGTTAATGGGTAGCCGCTTGGCAGTTTGAAAAGCACTGCCTGGAGACTGTAGAAGTGTAAGCGGATGCTGTGGTGATGCCTTGGGAGGGATGTGGTAGAATAATTCACTTATTCTATAAGATTTACATCAATAGGACACCAAGGCCCTCCTGCTGAAATCCTAAGGTTCTATAATTCTCCGTTGTTTTATGATGCGAAGGTAAGGCCAGGTAACCTTTAACATACAAAGTGCTAAGGACCTGAACGAGGGTGGTGGCAGTGGGAATGGAAGGCAGGGGCAGGCCAGAGGGGTACTCAGAAGAATCCCATCGGATAGGGCTCCTGCCTGGGGTTCCATGCCTGTGGAACTGTGGAAATCACAATACTAGTGACAGAAATAGGAAAGCACTAAGAATCACAGAATTTGGGAAGACAGATACTTAGTTCCTACTTTAACACTCCATACTCAAAAATTATGTTTTGAATGAAAGTTTGTTGAGTTCAAGGTGATGGTGAAGTCAGGTCATGATTAGGACATTTGAAGTCCAAAGCATTCAGAAGCTAAGTGTCTGCCATATGTAATTCAAAATACAAACACCAGTGAACAATATGTATAATGGAATCCAACAAACCCCTACTTTTCCCAAAGTAAAAGACTGGTCTCCCTCTTTCTCTGCCTCTCTGTCTCTCCCTCTCTCTTTGCATCTCTTTTTGGTTCCCCTGCTGTCTTAGTACCCTGATCATTCCTTTAAGCTGCCACCTGAGTAACCTTATACCTTCTAGGGCATCCAAGGGGAAAACAGCTCTGAAGGGTTAGAAATACAGAGGTGGAGTTTGGGGAAGAAATAAATGAAGACACAGATTGTGGAGCCTGGTGCAAAGAATTCTAACAGGAAACCCTGGAAATGGACAAATTTCAGAGGGAAGGGATGGAGAGAGAGAGAAGAGAGAACAGGGCTGAGACACAGCCGTTGGAGAACATCCACCTTTTTTTTTTTAACCCTCACCTGAGGACATTTTTTCCATTGATTTTTCAAAGAGAGTGGAAAGGGGAGAGAGAGAGAAACACCAATATGAGAGGGGCACATCAATTGGTTGCCTTCCGGGGATTGAGCCTGCAACGAGGTACATGCCTCGAACCCAGGACCCTTCAGTCCACAGGCCAACTTTCTAACCACTGAGCCAAACCGGCCGGGGCTGTCCACATTTTTGCGGCTGGAAGAAGAAAGAGGGTCATTAAAAGAGACCAGAGCCCTGGCCAGGTAGCTCAGTTGGTTAGTGCGTCATCCCCAAACATCAAGGTCGCGGGTTTGATCCCTGACCAGGGCACACACAAGAGTCAACCAATGAGTGCATAAGGTAAGTGGAACAGCAAATCGATGTCTCTCTCTCTCTTCCTTTCTCTCTCCAAAAAGCTAATAAAATTTTTAAAAGAGAGACAAGAAGGGGCAGCAACTAGAAAAAATAGAAAATTAAGTGCTTTTGCATCCAGGAAACTCAGGCAGGAGGTTAACTGTCACATGCTTGGATGGTGCAAGGTGGACAAGAACTTAAAAAGGCCTGTGCTGGTCTTTCAGCTGCTTTCTTCAAAGCCCGAGGAGCCACCACCCTCTGCCTGGGTTAGGGAAGGAGGGGCAGAGAGGCGATGAAGGCAGGAAGGGGACAATAGTCACAGTCCACAGAGCAGCTGCTCAAAGGTTGGCTGTAAAATCATTTGTCCAACCTGAACCGAGCTCCGCGGAGTGTTATATGCACGACCTGGCTGGGCAGAGGGCACCCGCAGTTGACTGGGGCAGGGGTAGAGCAGCGAGGAGGCCAAGAAAGCCCCCCAGTGCTCGCATCCCCCTCGCCCGCTCCCCCCACTGGGTCCTGCCCGAGGCCTCTATGTTTAGACACGGCTGGCACTAAAATAAGCGCTGCCTGGCCCCCGTCAGCTCACACTGCCGTGCTGGTGGACTTTATATAGCTCCGGCACACGGGAGGAGCAGACGGGACCTGGGGAACACAGAGCGCTAGTCGCCCGGTGTGGGAAACTGGGCTGGTGGACAGATGGAGCCTTCACGAATGGGCCTGGGGTTGCCTGGCAACCGCTTCTTCCAGGCCGGGCTTCTGCGGGTGCAGGAGGCTGGGTTTGCTCCCCCCTGCTCACTGGTGGCTCAGTCAGGCTCTGTCCGGGAGGAGGGACAGAGCCCACCGTGGCTTGAGTGTCCTTGGAGCTGCAACCCTGTCGGGGCTCCTTGCCTGGTCCGGGGCAGAGAGTGGTACCGGTCACCTTGAGGCCCATGGCGACAGGGATCTCCTGACCCAGTGCCTAGGCTCCAACCTGGTATTTAAGGAACATCTGTGGGGAGGAAGAGCAATGACTGCTCCCCGGAATGGGTTATTACTTTTACTATCGTATGGGAAGTTGAATGGGCACATTGGCGAGCTTTCCGCGGCTGATGTTCAGCATGGCCCTATGGGCTGTAAAACTATTGAAACACTCACCTCCAGTGTGGTTACAGCCTCTGCTCTGAGTCTCCAAATGCCCCACTACAGGGGTTGTCTGGCTCCTCCCCTAGAACCCTGTTGGCCATGCTCAGGATTTAGCAATTAAACCATTACACCCGGCACAGTAGCGTCCTCTAGGCCTTTGCCCCGTCTTTTGGCCACATCTGACCTGAGTGGAGGCATCCATGGCGCACTGGTTGTTATATCATTGGACTATCTCCTTTGCTGTGAGCCCCAGGCCCAGCAACTGAGCCCTCTGCTGCCACTGGCCTCACTGCCACATCCCTTCTGCCACCACTCGTGTTCTCCTGATGAGGCCGACGGCACACAGGCTGAGCCCGGTGCGGATTGTCGTGGGGAACGTAGCACAGGGCTCAGGGGTCCCGGAGGGCTGCCACCCCCTCTGGAGCCCTCGCAGTCACACAGGGGAGCTGCAGGGCCATTCCCTGCTCGGCCTGGAGGGTGGGAGCCAGTGGTGCAGCGCAGACCCAGGAGGGAAACCCAGCATCCCAGTTTGGGTCAGGCCCTCCTGCTTTTATTGCTGCTGAGGGCCCTTGGGCCTCGGCCTTATTTGGTGAAAAAGTCATCAGACAGCGCTTTGAAGGGAGAGCTGGAGGCGGTGGGAACATGAACCTGCTCCCACCCCTGGGCCTGAAGTCAAGTTGAACACCACTTACATTTTCCTCCTTAAAAGGAGCTGAGTCCTCAGCAAGGCGACCCCACTTGCCCCCCTCCACACAGCCCTGGGCTGTCCTCTTTGACCCTATTCCTGCTGGAAACTCCCACTGAGTCTCTACCGCCACTAAGCACAGCTTCTGGCCTGCTGGCTTCCCACTGGGCCTCCACCTGCAGCCTGGCTTTCCCGTGGGTCCCATGTGCCGCTGCTGAAAAGAGCCTCCTTGTCAACCTTCTGGCTTCCCGACCTCCCGCTCAAGCACCCACCTTTCCCACCCTGATCCTCAGCCTCTGCTTGGGCCCAGGCCCCCATCCCACTGCCTCTCCCCTTCCCATCCTCACCGACTTCCTTCCCTCCCGCAAAGTCCACCTGCTCCAGGGCCGGGCTAGCTGGGCGGGGGAGGCGCGAGGGGAGAGCTCCGGGCTCCCGGAGAGGAATGAGCGGGTCCCCCCTTATTACCTTAGTGGGGCAGGAGAGGGATATATTTGCTGCCAGGTCCAGGGTATCTGTTTTCTTTCCTAGCGGTTCCAGCTGGGTGGAGAAAAGGAGAGAGACAGGTGCGCTCGTTTGTTTCTGCGGATGTGAACATCCCCGGGCAGCATCCTGCCCTGGGAAAGCTCCCAACTCAGTTTCAGGGGTTTTGGCTTCCGCTCCTGGCTCTGCCAGTTGCCAGCTGTGGGATGTTGGGGGAGTCTCTTAGCCTCTCTAGGATTCAGCTTCCTCAGAAACTCCTAACACAGCAGGGCTGTTGGGAAGCTTCAATGAGATGACATGGCTTAAACTGCCTAGCACAGTGCCTGGCACACAGAAAATGTTGACTCTACGTGAGGGTTCTGCCTTGCACTCATGTAAAGTCCATCATCAGAGTTAAAGAGCAGAGGAGAGGATGTGGTTAATCCTGGGATCTTAAGGACTCTGTATTTTCAATTCTATAGCTGTCTACAGATGTGCCAGCCACAGCTCCTCTATATCTTGCCGGCAAAGAGCAGCCAAGAACAAGCTCCATTTTATGGGGGCTGGTGCTTTAGTCTAGACTAGAACCCCAGAGAGACAGGAGCACCCCACTTATTTTACCATATTGACCCAAAGGGCTCTGGAGAGCTGGGAGTGGAAGTTCTGATTTGGGTGGATGCAGTCTGGGGCGAAGAAAGATAAATCCGGGTGCCCATCCTGGAGGAGAGAAATAGACTTCCTCAAGATCCTGTTGGCGTAGAGGGTGGAGAGAAGAGCCACAGCTGATTGGCCCGACCCCTGGCATTGACCCCTCAACACCCTCCTCCCCTGGAGGTGCTCTGAGCCATTGGACTTCTATAGGGCCTGCTCCCCTCAAGAGGGAGATCAGAGCAATCCCACAGATCAATAGCCTTGGGTGACCCCAAGCCCCCACCCTCTTTATGGCCCCACAATTTCCCTTATTTAATAAAAAAAAGTGCCATATTTGTTTTGAGGCACACTAGTGTGATGCCCTAGCCCATGCCGTGGTTGGGGAACGAGATCTAGTCCTTAAGGAAGTCTTGGCCAACCAGATGGGAAAAGCTACTTCCTAGCCATTAACCAGATGATCCCTGTGGTCTTGGTGGGGAGAATGGAGCCAAACCTCAGGGCAGGCCTGGGCAAAGCGGGAACAAAGGCAACGTGCCACCCTCTTCTTTCTTGAGGCACTCAGGGGTGCCCGAAGCTCCCCAGGTAGGCGAGGCCCTTAGGATGGAGGCCCAGGTGGACAGAACCAAGTCCCCACCCTGGTTGATTCACAGAGCTCTTCTGCTCAGAGTAGGAGTGTCAGGCACAAAGCAAGGCCCAGGGGTGGAAACTGAACACCCAGAGCCCTCCTTCATGACTACAGTGTGGTGTGTATGTGGCAGAAAGGGAACATTCTGGAGCTGGACATGTTCAAATCTCGCCTCTCTGACCCGTAGGTCCTATGTGATTTCAGGAAGGCTGCTTTGCATTTCCGAGCCTCTGCTATATGGGGGTGATAAAACTCACCTCAAAAGGTAGTGGTGAAGATTTTATGTATGGCAAGCACAGTGCCTGGCATGCAGTAGATGCTCAGTAAAATGGGGGCAGCTTTCCCACATCAGGCTGCCTCTGAGGATGCAGCTCAGATGTTCAAGAAGGCTGCATTCACCAGACCAGCACCTGGAGAGCTGCCTGTGTCCTTCCCCCTTAAGTCATACCCTGGTGGAAGCACATGGCATTTCTGCCTTGACTTTCCTCTTCCCTGAGGGAGGGCAGGGCCATACCTGCAGGGTGGGGAGCTGGATGTTGCTGAAGAAGGGCTGCAGCACCACGGAGAAGTTCTCCCGAATGTCATAGCGGCCTGACTCCACCAGCTCACGCAAGCTGTTCTGGGGATACACCCATGGGTGCCTTTAGCACAAGTCCTAGGTAGGCCAAGAGCCCATTGGGCAAGGGTGGGAGTGGCGGGCAGAGTCCCCACCTCCCTGAGGAATGGAGGGATGCTGACTCAGCCCTTCCATTTAGCAGGAAAACACACCTGATTGCAAAGCTCTTTCCAGAGAATTGAAACAGGTTAGGTCACCTTTATGTTTTGTTTTAAGTGAACTGCAAGCTCTGAAGGGCTAGGCAGGAAGTCCCACAAGCAATAAAAACCTGGGAAGTCTCCAAAGAGCCCCCAAGCTCGAGACCTGCAACCTCCCAACCTGTTGAGGAGGTGGGAGGGGGGGCAGCTGGGCCCCCAGGATGCAGGGTACTGTCCTCTCAGGCCAAGCATTGGGGCTAAGCCACCATGGGCAGCTGGGTCAGGGGCTTTGCCACCTAGATTCCTTTGGAATGACTCCAACCAGGTGCCTGAGACACCTCCACAAGGTGGGGCAGAGGAAGGGGCCTAGATGGGGAAGTCCCCATTCAAACCCTGAACAGCTCTTCCCTCTCCTGTGTGTCTCCCCTGGGGGGCTATGGGCTAGTGTGTTCACTGAGTGGGGGGAGAGCACACCAAATGGTGCCCTTTTTGGTCTCACCTGGTAGGCTTTGGTGACGGCTTTCAATTTGGCCAGCTCTTCAGAGTTCTCCAGAGGGCTCAGAACGCAGTTACACAAAGAGCTGCACAGAGAGAGGGAGGCAGGAGGACCCGGAGCCAAAGCTCTGGTCAGGGGCTGGCTCTGCTGCAAGGGGCAGCCCTTTCGAGCCTGGACTTAGGAGCATATGTACCTGAGGCTCTGACACAGGTGCCCAGGGGCAGGTTTCAGGCCTGACTCGGGGATTGGGTAAGTGCCCAAGGGTGCATTCATGTGCACTCTCTCATGTTAGCAGAGTACAAGGCGCTGGGCCTGCAGCCAATCACACTGAGCAAATGAATTTAGGCAATGAAAATGCAATGTTTAATTTTTAAAAATAAAATAAACATGCATCCTCTGGTATTGGAGCTGGTATTTGGGGGCCTCCCATACTCATGCCCTCAGATACCTCCTCAGTTGCTGCTAGTGCCCACTGTGTCTTCTATTTTCTTATGAGTTATTTCATGCCCATAAAATATACTTCATATTCAAAGACATGTTATCTTAAAGCATTCAGGACAGTACCTGGTTCACAGTAAGTTCCAAAAAAGTATTTGTTACATAAATAAGAGTACACATGAGGCATGAAAAATAATAAAAGACCCCCATGTACCTCTCACCCAGCTAAAGAAACAAAACTCTCCCAATTTGAAGTTCCCTCCCCAATTCACTTCTTCTGCTAAAGGTGACTAGACTGTGTGGGTCATTTATTCGCCTCTGCTTCAGTGTGACTGTCCCATGATGCCCCCTCACAGGCAGGGCCACAACATCCCTCAAGCACTAGGCTTTGCCCCAGCCCTGGCCTCTCCTCCTGAGTTCCCCCATATCACAGAGGTTCTTGCTGACACCCTGAGGTTGGATAAGGGGTGGGGCATGACTCAGACTTTCCAGAAAGGGGTGGTCTTGGCACAAGACCCCCTTTACAGACTTGGGTACATGGATAGACCAAGTCACAAACACCCCAAGGGGTTACAGCTACAGGAGCCGGACCAGGGCGGTGAACGCTCCTCCAGCTGAGGGCAGCCAGCACCCGCCTACCTGGACTGCTTCACTGGGCACTTGTTTGGGTTTCCCAGGAACGCCTGTCGTATGATAGCGGGGTTCATGAAGTCCACAAGGTTGACCAGGGTTCTGGGTACCTGAGGGCAAGGCTGCAGGTAAGAGAGGGACACCAGGGGCTCCTCCCTTCAGCTGCTTTAGGGCCCTGAGAAGTGGGAACGGGCTTTAGGGTCCCCGCAGGAGTCCAGCTCAGATGTCCCTGAGTGGTATCTGGGGAGGTATCTACACCGGGCCATCACGTAGGACCACATGGGCTGCAGTGTGAATGACACCTCCTGGAATGGGACAATATGGCAGACCCAAGTCTAAATGCTGCGAGTTCAGCTCCATTCAGCCATCAGTTAGTGAACCCAAATCTATTAGCTTTGAATTTAGTGGGATAACCCCTCATTTGCCAGGACATTAGCCCTGGATCATTTCTCTCTAGCCCAGCCTGTACTAACTGCTGAGCAGGCCCGGGACTCAGCCACCCAGAGAACCACCTGGTGGCCAGAGTATAGGATTGGCTTGCCTATGCCACATGTGGGGACAGAGCACATGGCTGGGCACAGGACCAGGGAAGGACTTGCTCTGGACACACTGTATGGCCCAGAGTGCAGTGCCCAGCCTGGGAGCCACCCAACTGCTGCCACCAGGGAATGTCCCAAGTACTGGTGGTGGGCAATTAGTGCCCACACTATCTTCCCTTCTTCAAGCCTGAGATCCTTCTGGGCTGATTCTAAATGCAACGAGGCTTCCCTGTGGGCAGGCCCCAACCCCTAGAGAGGAAAGGAGCCTTCACCTTTCCCGCATCCCCCCTCACAACCTCCAGGCTTGAGCTGTTACCACCCACCTCTCTATGTAGGATGTCCAAGGCATTGCAGAGGTGCTCATAAAAGTTAACTGCAGAATAGAGATTCTGGGAAGAGACAGGAGGGAGAGGAGGAGCTGGTTAGGAGGAGAGGGCCACAGGGCAGGCATAGGCCCCCCTCTGGCTCCAGCCCCAAGGACTTGTTCCCCCTCTGGCTTCCAGCTGTCACCAGTTCATCATGTCAGAATCTGAGGTGATCAGTTGACCACTCGCTGTTATCAAAGATGGGCCTGCAAAAGACTGGAACCTTCAGCCAGAGCTTTAGTTCAGGAGTAGAAAGTAGAGAATCCTCCTAGCTGCTTGGGGTTTTCAGTTTTTTTCTTTCTGAATTATCAGGAATTGTAAGAAAAGGGGGTAGAAGCACCATCGATCTGCCTCCTGCTACCTCACACTACCTGGGACATGGAGGTAGAGTCAGAAACCTGAGTGTCATGGGGTAAGAAGTGTGTGCATACACACATGTGCATGTGCCTGCACACAAACACAGGGGTAGTTGTACAGTCCTAGGGTTGATTCTAGGGACTGTTCTCAAAGAGGATCTCCAAAGCCTACAGGTCGAAATCAGGAGCAATGAGCAGGCCCGGCTCGCCTCCCTTACCGAATCCGTGCAGTAGTCACATAAGTCACTGCCTCCAATCATCACCGTGATGATCTTCCAGTCCGCTTTGAAATTTACTTTCTACACAGAGGGAGGAAAATGCTTGATGGTTTCCAGCAAACAATAAAAAATACCCCAGCTCTAAGACTTCCTTGCCCATTTGAAAGAATATAATCAGAATCTCAGCTGAAAGAATTTTAGGGGTTTATTTACAGGACACAGAATCTTAGAATCAGGAGGGACTTTCAAGGTCATTGTGATCAGCAACAAACCTCTCCCCATTGACACAATCTCCTCCAGAGGGTCTTTAACAAGGGCTTCCCTACTGCTGCTTGAATGCCTCTAGTGACAAGGGGCTCACTGTTTTCATAGCAGACCAATCCATTTGGGGACTTTTGTGGAAATTAGTGTTTAAAAGTAACCATAAATCTGACTCACATCATTTTCTTTCATCCTCTGCACCAGAGTCCAGACTTGGCCTACAAGGTCCCTAAAAAGAAGAGGAAGTCAGTCCTGTTCAGGAATAGTTCCTGGATTTTTCATCCTTAAGGGCCTGTACTGGAGGTTCCCATGGCATTATCCCCACTGCATGAGCTGGCAGAGACTCTGAGGCTCAGGGACAAACAGCTCTTTGCCTGTTCTAGAGAATTATTACAACAAATAACCCTTTGAAAAGCCAGCTGTGTGTTTGTCTGAAAGCTATAATCAAAGGTACTGCCAATTATATTTGCTACTCATGATCCCCTTTCCAGAACCACTCGTGCAAAGTGTCTTAGGAGTCTATGCTAGGACACCATTCACCACCTTTGAAGGCCTGGCGTAGCTCCTGAAATCAGCTCTATGAAAGCTTTAGCATGCTTCCTCTTTTTACCCTGGCTGCTGGGAAGCTGAGAGTTGGACACTCAGGCACAATAACTATAAAAATGCTCATATTGACAGAGTTGCTTCTCCCCCGCCCCCAGTGGCTGTGATTTTCTCTTAAGTATATGTTAATTGTGTTATTTTTAAAAATAAACTTATCTAAATGCTTCTTTTAGAAAGAGGTGGAGAATGAATACATACTGCACACGGGCCTGGGTTTATAACTCATGGAAGGACTGGACCTCAGGCATCCTGAGTTCGCCATTAGTTCAGGGTCCTGTTATAGGTCTGGGTGGGATGGATCCACAGCATGGTGATCTCCTGGGACCCGACAGTGGGCCCATCTGTCCCCAGCTATTTCTATTACCCAGGCTGAGTGAACAGGTCTGGGTGCTGTGCCCATCAACCAGAAGGGTGGGGGCCTGAGCAAGAAGATGACAGTGTGACAGAGGCTCAGATGGCTGGGCCTCAACAAGGGAACCCAGGCTGCTGGGACCTCTAGGAGCAGGATGGGGGGCCTCCTTGGGTATTGGCCCTGGGAGGCTGAGCACTTCAGCTTCAGCTGTCTCTGGCTTCTCGGGCACGCTTCCTGTTCGCTCCGCAGTGAGGCTGCTGACAAGATGTGGCTTGTTGCCCCCGAGGCCTCTAAGGAAAGAGGTTCTGGCTTGTCCGTCCATTTGTTTGGCCCTGATCTTTTGGGGGGAATTGCCACTGGCCAGGCTGTGGAGACCAGTGGCACCATCATGGGAAGTTTCAAAAACTGGATAAGGCTGGTAGTTAGTCAAATGATTAGACCACGTTATGCATGAAAGTAAAGTCAGGAGTTCAGCCTTAGGGCCCCAGTCCTGTCCAAGCTCCAGCCTCGCTAGCTTAGTCACAGGGTGTCCAGGGAAAGGTGCGGCCAAGAGCCCCTCAAGTCACTACTGCAAATGCTTAAGTGTCCCCTTGGCACACGGAGGGCAGGATTACAACCTTAAAGGGAGCGCCTCCTACAGACCCCTCCCCAGATGCATACTTGGCCTTTGCTCCAGGAACAGCCTGATTGAAGAACGCTTTTGTGTCAGTGGCGTCACCTGTGCCCAGCGCGTAGCCCTTGAGATGTTGGTTAAACTTCCGAAGGATGTCTGGAAGAGGAGGGGGCGAAGGGGATAGGGAGAGCTTAGGGTGGTCGGCCAGGGATCTCTGCTGGCCTGGGGTCCCTAGAGTGGGCTGCATCACCATTCTCACGCAGCCTGGGGAGAGGCGGCATGTGTGCCCCCAACAGGAGTTGGTGCCTCTCTGAGTTGAAATGACCTGATGACAGCGTGGCCAAGGCAGCGGAGCCTCTCAGCTTTTTTTTTTTTTTCCACAGTTCACAGAGAATTGTGCAGAGAATCTTCACTATCTCATCTGATCGTCTCCTCGCGCTCTGGGCCAGCTGAAGAAACCCAAGGCTCAGAATGTTTAGTGACGTGCCCTAGGTCGCCTGGCGAGCACATGGGAGGGCCAGGGCTCGACCCCAGGCCTCTGGGCTCTGGATACAGTGTTTATTCCACCCCCTTCAGTGGCCTGTCTACAGGCCTCTCCTCTCTCGTTTTGTTTAGTTTACTGAAGTATTAATTCAATGTTTAGTTCACAGATTATCTCCATGGAGTTAATGGAGTTCCAAGTAATGTGTTTAAAAATGATCGCAATGCATTTACATTGGCAGAGAATAACTTCTACCCAGACAGGACTCTTAGTGTATTTAGTTGTCAACAAACCTCTCCTCCCTTTTCAACGGTAGTCAGAAGGAAGACGCTATTTCCTCCTTTATTAGCTGAGAGGCATTTCAAGAAACCTGGGGTCAGAGGCAAGGAGTGGACAGACTCAAGCCCCTGGTGGTTACGTACTCGGTAAGGTGGTCACGTACTCCAGGATGCCGTCTCCTCCTGAACTGTAGGGAGTAAGCCAGAGGGACTGAATCAGTACATAAGGGTTTTCTTTGGCACCCATACCATCAGCACCTGTAAGATGTGTCAGACCTGTCTCTTTGTGTTTGAGGGATCCTCAGAAAAATTCGAATTCCCCAATGGGTTAGTTCCCCCAAATCCAGGATTTGAAGGCAAAAGACAGCTGTTTCTTTTCTCTTCCAAATCAGGAGGGAGAGCACTTAGCCGAGTATATACTATGTGCCCAGCCAGGAACTTGACTTTCTACATTAGTTATCTCACATCTCCCCACATCTCTAAGCTTATGATGTAGATGCCACTATTTCCATTTTACAGAGTAGGAAGCTGAGGAGCATAGGGGAACACTGACTTTCTAAAGGCCACTAAAAACCATAAAGGTAACAAAAAACCAGCTTGAGCTGGAAACCTTTAGAAAATGGATACGCTCTTCTCTGTCCAGGGGTGAGGTCAATCCCACTGCCACCCAATCCAATTTCACCTAATCTAACAGAGTGTTATGGTCCTCAGTCTAACCCTGACACACTCAAAATTTCCTTTCCTTTCATGCATTCAAATTGGATACATTTGGGGAGCAAGGAGAGAAGTATTTCTATTTTAACCAAGTCCAATGTTCAGATATACTGTATTTACTGTTATTTTCCTTCTGCATCTCCTTTCTCAAGCCCAGCATATGAGTCTAGGCCAACAGATTATGAGAGCACAGTGTTAGCATCCAGCCCATCAGTATAGGCTTCCAAAGGACAGGCCATGGATCAAAGTCATGGCTGTTCTTTATTCAAGGAATGCTTGGAATAAGTTGACTATTTCATACCAGGGGGGTCAAGGGCTTAAGCCAAATACTCAGCAGCCCCTGGTGGTGGAGAGAGAGAAGCCAGGTAAGCTCCACCCTTCTAATCTTACTCAGGTATTTTTCTCCCACCTCCCCCAAAATGTCTCAACTTGGCCAGTGGTTGGGCATTTGTTTGAGCTCCCAATTCTTTTCCAACTCTGCACAAAGCCACTGTTTTAGCTGCTTCTGATCCTTCTTTCTTTGGACTAGAAGCACTTAATCAGAATACTCCACAATTGAAAGGAAATTATAAATCATGCACCTGCTCTAATCACTGTGTTCTAACTCTGCTTCCTTTTCTCCTTCAATAAACATGGAAACATAAACACAGAGACAGATGTAAACACATACATGTTAAGTACTTTCTACTGGAAGAGGTATCTTTGTTCTAAAATAAGCGCTGTGGCTGACCAATAGGCTATGAAAATCTCTCTCTGAGCCCATTTTAGAGTGAACATTTCCAGGAGAAAAGAGAATTACATGAATAAATATGGGACAGAAAGTTTAAGCTCTCATTTTGATCAGAACTCTGTGAAACATGAAAGAAGACAGATCCATATGAAACAGCTAGTCTACAGGAGACCTGCAGATTCATGTAATTTGTATTATACCATGAGCTCAAGATTACACCATGAGCTCAGCCGCTGGGCTTTGTTCCTCTGCTGTCACCACCGTGCAGAGAAATACAGAGTAGATGCTCAGTAACATTGGTTAAAGGAGTTTCAGTAATGCAAGATCGAACTCCTAATTAACAAGACAAAGAAATGCATTTTTTGGTAAGTAAACTTTATTTTGGTCCTCTGAATGGTGCCAAACAAGCAAACATATTTCAGCTAAAGAAAAGGCAATGCTCTGAAGTCTAGTACAGCGATTTTCAACCTTTTAACCCCGTGGCACACATAAACTACTGAAATTCTGTGGCACACCAAAAATATATTTTTTGCTGATCTGAAAAGAAAAAGTATAATTTTGATTCACAGTGGGTGGCTATTGTTCTGTTGGTTGTCTTTTTAAAAATTTTATTTGATAATCTAAGGGAAAAGAGGTCAGTGCCCTTGACTAAGTAGTCATGTATTGCATGTTTTAAAAATTCTTGTGGCACACTGGTTGAAAATCACTGGTCTAGTATGTGAACAGTTCCCAGGGGATGCTAATAGGTATATGAACAAAGAAAGTGTTCTGGGATTCAAGGAAACACTGGGTTAAACAGACACAATTTTAAAAAAAAATTTCTTCATTGTAGGTATTCTCATAGCCTTTACTATGCTAAGATGCATGTGAATTCCCCAGAGGAAGGATATGGTAGGTAATGTTTCCCCTCAAAATACAAAGAAGTTTGCCCTCTTCAGGAACATGGCTGTGGCTAGTGTTCCACGGAACACACTTTGAGAAACACTGTGTATTCTACCACGTGTGAAGCTGTCTCTCAGAATCTGACCCAGAGTTTCCATCCTAAACACATGGGTATCTGGGGGCAGGTGAAATGCTCTGAAACATTTAGAACAAACAATTTAAAGCAATAACAGCCACTGAGTATACGAGGCCTTGGAATGACAACCGCAAGACAAGCATTAGGCTTTACTGGCCCTCCCGCGTAGGAGGAACCGGCGCAGACACTGGAGGCTTCCGTCGCTGCAGGGAGGACGTTTAGCAGAGGTTAGCCTGTTTGCATGTGACTCTCAGAACCTGTCCAGTTGGCCTGTTTGTGAAACTGGGAGGATGCCCCCCGGCCCCCCGGACGGCCCTGCTGGGCCTTGGCCTTCGCTGGCTAAGACGAAACGCAGCTGCCACCACCTCATACTTTTTTCCCCGATTAGAATAAGCTCTGCCTCCTTTCCTCCCCTCCACGTTCCTGTTTCTCGCAGCTGCAGTAACATTTGGGGCGGGGGGGG